ACTGAATTCCTGTATGAGTTCTAGCAGTTTTGGGGTGGAGTCTTTTGGGTTTTCCACATACAGTATCATATCATCTGCAAAAAGTGAGAGTTTGACTTCCTCTTTTCGATTTGGATGCCTTTGATTTCTTTTTGTTGTCTGATTGCTGTGGCTAGGACTTCTAATATTCTGTTGAAAAGCCCAGTTAGTATCTTTAAAGTCATGATTCTGAACTCTAGGTCCGACATCGTAGTAATGTCCATATTGAGTAGGTCCCTGGCAGACGGTACTACCTCTTGTTCTTTTTGCTGAGGTGATTTTTTTCATCTTGTCATTTTGTCCAGAGGAGGACAGATGAATGAGAGAACAGAATGCTAACAGGTTAACAACGTCTCCAGCCAATATACTCTATAGAAATCAGAAAAGACCTGAAACCAGGGGAAAAGAAAGGGAAAGAAAGAAGAGAAAAAAAAAAAAGGAAAAAGAAAAAGATAAAAACAAAGAAAAACAGAACAAAACAAAAGAAAAAACCCGGAATATGATCAAATATGATCAGGCTAGTGCATAGATCAGTGCCACACACTAGCTTTTGGGCATATTTTGGTCTGTTAGAAGAAAGTGCCTGCTAAAATTTTAAAGGAAGAAAGACTTATATATGTACAAAATAAGGGTTGATACAATGAAGGGATGGCAGATGACTGTAAAGATGAAAATTATAAAAGATTTTATAAAAGGAATTGATAAGAAGTTGTTTTTAAAAAGAAAGAAGAAGATTTAAAAAGAAAAAGAAAAAAAAGGGAGAGAATGTGATCAGGCAGGAGAATAGAACAAAGCCATACACTAGTGATTTAGGGTATATTTTGATCTGTTAGAAGAAATTGTATCTCAAAATTTTAACGAGAGAACAACTTTTATATATATGCCAAAAATAAGGGTAACTACTATGAAGGGATAAAATATGACTCTAAAAATGAAAAATAAAAAATGTTTTTTTTAAAAAAGGGATTGATAAGATGTTGTTTGGAAAAGGGAAAAAGAAAAATTAAAAAAAAACGTTAAAAAATTAACTTTGAAAAACTAATGAATTATGGTAAAAAAGCCATGAATTCTATGTGCAGTATTCCCCTAGCGCTGGAGTTCTCCCGTTCTCCTTGATCGGTAAACTTGGTCTTGGCTTGCTGGCTGTTCGTGCTGATCTTCTGGGGGAGGGGCCTGTTGCCACGGTTCCCAGATGTCTTTGCTGGAGGCTGAATTGCCCCGCCCTTGTGTGTCTGGGCTAAGCAAGCTGCTCCGGTTTGCTCTTAGGAGCTTTTGTTCCCTGCAAGCTCTCCGTACAGCTTTGGAGGACCAGAGTGAAAATGGTGGCCTCCCAATCTCCGCCCGGACGAGCTGATAACTCAGGGCCCCGCTCCTCAGTGTGCCCCCAGGGAAAAGCAGTCACTCCCGTCTCCCCGGTCTCTGGCTGCACTCCGTGCTCACCCGGCCTGTGATTGAACATTTCTATCTCTGGCACCCGAGCGGTGTGGAGTCTCCAAACCCAGCAGATCCCTGCGGTGCGCTTCCGCGCCTCTCCTCCCAGGGGAGGAAGGGGAGTCTCCCAGGCTCTGCCGCTTGTTGGGTCCCTGCTGGAGGAGCAGTGGCCCGACTGGGCCACGGATCACAGTTTATGGCAACCCCGAGCTGAGAGCCTGCGCCTCGGCTCCGTCTCTGCGGCTGGCTTCCCTGCTCCGATACCTGGGAGCTCTGCTGCACTCAGGCACCCCCGGTCTTTCTGTGACCCCGAGGGTCCTGAGACCACACTGTCCCACAAGGGTTCCACCCCCCGCTTAGCCACTGGAGGGACGTCCCTCAGCGGAGCCTACTTCTAAAAGTTCCGATTTTGTGCTCCGCGGCTCTATCACTTGCCAGAAGCGGCCGACGGCGACCCCCTCCCCCGCCGTCTATCTTCCCGAATATCGCCTCGGATTCACTTCTCCGCACGTCCTACCTTCCAGAAAGTGGTCGCTTTTGTGTTCAGAGAGTTGTTACTCTTCTTATCTTCAATGTCCTGTTGAGTTCGTAGGTGTTCAGAATGGTTTGATCCCTATTCAGCTGAATTCCTGAGACCAGACGAAATCCAGGTCTCCTACTCCTCTGCCATCTTGCTCCGCCCCCCAATGCCCTCCAGGTTTATCCATGTTGTGGCAAACGGCAGGGTTTCCTTCTTTTTTAAGGCTGAATTATATCCGTATCTATATCTATAACCTATATCTCACATCTTCTTTATCTATCCATCCATTCATCCATTGACAGACACTTAAGTTGTTTCCATATCTTGGCTATTGTGAATAATGCTGCAGTAAACATGGGAGTGCAGATGTTGTTTTCAAGATTATGATTTTATTTCCTTTGGATATATATTTCAGAAGTGGAATTGCTGGGTCATATGGTAGTTCTATTTGTATCTTTTTGAGGAACCTCCATACTGTTTTTCATATTGACCGCACCGGTTTACATTCCCACCAACAGTGCATGCTGGTTGCCTTTTCTCCACATCCTTGCCAGCATTTGTTATCTCTTGTGTTTTTGTTAATAGCCATTCTAACAGCTGTGTGGTGATATCTCATTGTGGTTTTGATTTGCATTTCCCTAATGGTTAGTGATGTTGAGTAGCTTTTATGAGCCTGTTGGCCATTTGTATGTTTTCTCTGGAATGTGTCTATTCAGGTTCTTTGCCCATTTTTAAAATTAGGTTATTTGTTTTTCTACTATTGAGTTGTATGAGCTTCTTATATATTTTGGATATTAACCCCTTATTGGATAGGTGGTTCACCAGCATTTTCTTCCATTCCATAGTTTGTCTTTTTATTTTGCTGATAATTTCCTTTGCTATGCAGAAGCTTTTTGGTTTGATGTATGTATGACCACTTGTTTATTTTTGCTTTCTTTGCCTTTGTTTTTGGCATTAAATCCAAAAAAATCATTGTGAAGACCAGTGTCAAGAAGCTTACTCCTCATGTTTTCTTCTAGAAGTCCTTCGGTTTCAGGTCTTAAATTCAAGTCTTTAACCCATTTTGAGTTTATTTTTGTGTATGATATAAGAGAGAGACTCAGTTTTATTCTTCTGCATGTGGCTATCCAGTCTTCCCACCACCATTTATTAATTTCCCATTGTATATTCTTGGCTCCTTTGTCATAAGTTAATTGACCATCTACACATATGCTTTATTCTGGGCTCTCTATTCTTTTCCATTAGGTTCCTTTCTACTTTGTGATTTTTATGACGGTGATTATATGGAGTTTTCAATAATTTATTTTATTCCTAAAAAGTTTTACTGTTGTGAAATCCTTGTCTACCATTGATGAACAGTTTTATAAAATCCTGCAGATAAATAGTAAGTACGTGGTATGAAAAAAGCAAATTTTTAGCCTCTAGGATTAGCAGTTGGCATGTATGTTCAAATTACAGTAGTGGCCCACAACTTCAAGTGTCCATGGGAATGAACTGTAGAGAGTTTGAAGAAAAGTACAAATGTATTTGTGAAATATATTGCTGCTACGCTACATTTTAAATAGTTAAATCAGATTCTCTAGACATGGGGACAAGGCTTAGATATTTTTTAAAAGCTAGATTTTTCTAATTTGCAGGGAAAGGTGAGAGTAATTAAAAGCTAATAGGCTAAAGGTAATTGAAGAGGCAAAAGTGAAAGAGATTCAGTTTGAACAGTTCAATTTGAACAGTTTTGAAAAAGTTCGAAATATAAATGACAATTTTTAAGTAATATACAACAAACTTAATAACAAGTGAATTCTGGAAATACATAATTTGAAAAAAATTAAAAAGAACATTACTGCTAAAGCACAAATTAAAACTCCTTTTCTAGTTCAAGTTTGTGAAATACATATTGGATATTGGATATTGGATATAATACACATAGTGTTTTTTGCTTCTCTTTGGACTGTTTGGGAGTCAAATGAAAATCCCTGTTAAGTTTCAGGCATTTTCTCATTTGATTTCTGAAATTGTTTTATTTTTAAAGATAAGTATGTACGAAAAAAAAGCTTTAGGAGGCAAAAGGATTATATCACTAAAGCATATATAAGAAGTACTCATTATCTAAGAGTAAGGAATAATTGATAAGTGGTGTATTCATTTCCTAGGATTGCTCAAACAGTTCACCACAAATCTGGTGTCTTAAAAGAAGAAAAATTTATTCTCTCACAATTCTGGAAGGCAGGTGTCAGGAAAGCTGTCCTCCCACCAAAGGCTCTAGGGGGGAATTCCTCTTTGCATCTTCTAGTTTGGGGTGGTTCCTGGCATTTCTTGGCTTGTGGCAGCATAATTCCAATCTAAGCCTCTATCTTCACACAGCTTTCCTTTCATGTATCCCTAGGTGTTTTTTTCCGTCTTTTATAAGGAGGCTAACTGAATTTCGGGCCCACCCAAATTCAGTGTGCTCTCGTCTGGATCCCTACCCTAATTACATCTGCAAAGACTCTATTTCCAAATAAAATCATATTCTGAGGTTCTGGTGGACATTAACCTTTAGGGGTACTGTTCAACCTACCATACCAGGTAAACGCCATCTGTGATGAATCTGTTAAATATGGAGACCAAATTTTTATAGTAAATAGTGTGTGTGTGTGTGTGTGTGTGTGTGTGTGTGTGTGTGTGTTATGGGAAGAATTCTTTAGTACAAATTAATAAAAAATAAATTAATATAATAAATAAAAATTAATAAAGAATTAGTTCTTTAATTAGAATTTCTCTGAAATGTGAAACTAAAAAAAGCCTACATTATATTGGCTATAATTGTATCTATGTATGAATTATTAGTGTTTACATATATACACTTTGTGTATATATATATATACGTATATATACACACACACACACACACACACACACATACATACATACAGATACAACACCATTTGCCTCATGGTTTTGTTCTCCAGAAGAATCATACGAAGGCTCATATTTTCAAAAACATCTGTAAGCTTCATTTATTTTCCAAGAGGTCTTTTTAAATCTTTTTTTTTTTAATATGGAATACTTCACGAATTTGCACATCACCCTTGCGCAGGGGCCATGCTAATTTTCTCTGTATCATTCCAATTTTCGTATATGTGCTGCTGAAGCAAGCACTTAAAATCTTTTTTTTTTAAGATTTATTTATTTTTTTAGAGAGAGCACAAGTGGGAAGGGCAGAGGGAAAGGGAGAGAATCTCACCAGGACGAGCACAGAGCCTGAGATCATGACCTGAGCCAGAACCAAGAGTTGGAGGCTTAACTGACTGTGCCACCCAGGAGCCCCAAAATCTTTTTATATTCACATACCACACACACATATGCCACAGACACCACACAAACCTCTTGTACCAGATAGGCAGACGAACACACACACACACACACACACACACACTCATCCCCCCACATTTATACCACACTATACATATACCACATATAGCCCACAGTCCAGTGGGCAAAGTAGACATTTAAACAAATAAGGATAGTGCAATGTGATTCATGATTGTGAGAAATGTTCATGCTGGGAACATAGAGGAGGAAGTAATGAAAGATTTAGGGAAAAGGGTGTCGGGAAAGGCTTCACTGAGGAAATGAAGTACAAACTAATCCTGAAAACTGAGTAGGAATTCATCATTTAAAAAAGTTAAATTATTGGGTGCCTGGGTGGCTCAGTTGGTTAAACGACTGCCTTTGGCTCAGGTCATGGTCCTGGAGTCCCAGGATCGAGTCCCACATCAGGCTCCCTGCTCAGCAGGGAGTCTGCTTCTCCCTCTGACCCTCTTCCCTCTCATGCTCTCTATCTCTCATTCTCTCTCTCAAATAAATAAATAAAATCTTTAAAAAAATAAAAAATAAAAAAGTTAAATTATGGAGATAACATTTCCACTCTAGGAAATGCTGTTAGAACCTAGGAATTAGGGCAATATCAAGACAAACCACTTTAAGATATGATTGAAATGAGCAGCTAAGGAGACTCAATGATAAGATGCTTATGTCCTATTAACTGTTTTTATGTCTTAAAATTCTACAACAAACAGAATGAGAAAATAAATAGCTATGTACTGGGGCGCCTGGGTGGCTCAGTCGGTTAAGCATCTGCCTTAGGCTCAGGTCATGATCCCAGGGTCCTGGGATCGAGCCCCGCATTGGACTCTCTGTTCAGACTCCCTGCTTGGTGGGGAGCCTGCTTCTTCCTCTCCCTCTGCCCCCCCACCCCACCCCGCTTGTGATCTCTCTCTCTCTCTCTGTGTCAAGTAAACAAATAAAATCTTTAAAAAAATAAATAGCTATGTACTAACATAATAGGATACAATTTAAGAGCTACAGTACTATAGAGAAAGGAAAGATTAGTGTGGTGTGGAATGTTCTGAAAGTCTTTAAGAGAAATGAAGTTTGAAACTCAGCCATGATGATGAAGAAGAGTTGGAGAGATGGGGAAAGAGAGAGAAGGTTGATGACAATAATATCATGGGTGCCCTGGAAGGAAAGAATGTCAAGAGGAAGACATGATTAATGTCTTGGAACCCAAGTAAGATAAGATTGAAAGGAGACCAGGACACCTGGCTGGCTCAGTCGGTAGAGCATGCAACTCTCAATCTCAGGTCATGAGTTCAAGTCCCATGCTGGGCATTGAGCCTACTTGGGGTGGGGAGGAACAAGACCAACCACTAGAAGGGCCTTGGTGATACTCTAAGAACAGGCTTGGATTCTCAGAATAAGCGAATTTGTATTGGGTTAGGGAGTGAATGGTGTTTTGTTTTGGGTGGCAAATGAATGCTCAGAGACTGAGTATGCCTTTGCCAGAAATTTATTTAAACACAGGTTCACTGCAGGAATTCCATGAGCCAAAAGCTTATAGGATAATGTCTCTTAATAAGCTCATAAAGATATAACATGCTCCAAAGAAATGATAGATTTATTACACTGTTGCTCCAGGCAAGTGGAGATGAAAGGAAAAAAGTCAAAATTAGGCTGAAGTATATACCTTTACAGGAGTTGATACTTAAGAGTGATGGCTTAACCAGGGGAGAAATGCCAGCTGCCAGCACAAAAATAAAAGTCCTCTGTTGCTAAAGCATGTTGCTAGGGATCACCGGGGCTGGTAGTGACAGACCACAGGGTCTCCTTTGCAGGTGCCACTTCACTTTTTACCACCGCTGGTAAGAGTTGCCTTTACTGTGGTAGGAGCTAACACCCCCAAAGTCTTTGGAGAACTTTTTAGATCAGCAGAGAGTCTCCTTGCCCAGACAGAACATTCTCAGATAATCCTTATAAACTTCGGGTGTTTATAGTGTAAATATCCCCCTGCCATAGTTGTTTCTTCATGTTTTTCCATAAGCCCCAGTGGGGCACGTGGGCAGCTGAGCTACTGCGTTCTTATTGGTGAGAACAGTCTTTGTCATAACCAAATGGATTAAAAAACTTCACGTAGGTCAGAAACAAGTGGATTTGAAATCATATCAAACCAATACACAACAGATAGGAAATAAACAAATATGTAAAGAGATACTGTGTGTCCCGCATTTGATATCTTAGATTGTTTAGTAAGGAACCAGTGGTTTTAAGTGCTAGATTAAGGAAATATCAATGGCTGAAGAATTAAAGGAAAACAGTTGATAGGGAATTTGAGCAACTTGGAGGTACTGGTGGGTCTATATCAGTGACTTTCAAAGTTTTCTGACTGTATCTTCAGTAAAAAATAAGTTTTATGTTGTGATCAATAATAGGCACAAACACACGTAACTGAAACAGAAGTTTCAAATATCAATACTACTTCCCTACTACAAGGGAAACACTTCCTTTTAATATTTTTATTTTTTATTTTTTTTATTTCATTTTTAATAATGAAAATCAGGACTTGTGTTATGCAGTGCACTTAAGCTTTGGACTGTTGATCTGAGTTTTGGCTGTCTAAGATTGGTTTTTGACTGTGAGAAGGATTATATATTTTAAAAAACATTTGTATTTTATATATTTTAAAAATATTTTAACTATTCCTAAAATTTCTTGTTTAACTTACAATTTACTTATTCAATTTATGTAAAATAAAATAACCATGTTTTGGAAGACTTTGATTTATGATCATTTAATCCAGTTGAAAGGATTAAACTTGCTTGAACAATAAATCTCATTTACAAGTTTAATTACATATTATGATACATTTATTATTTTTTTTAAGATTTTGTTTATTTGACAGAGAGAGCACAAGCAGGGGGAGTGGCAGAGGGAGCGGGAGAAGCAGACTCCCCGTTGAGCAGGGGCCCCCCCCCCCCCACCCCCCATCATGACCTGAGCTGAAGGCAGTTTGCTTAACCGCTCGACTCACCCAGGTGCCCCTATTATGAAACATTTAAATTGCATTTAATAAATTTAATATGTTTGATTTTCCTTTTAAGTACTTCAAATGCCTGACTAGGTTTATTAAGCAACACTCCTTTAAAGTACTTAACTCTTTTAAATGTGATTAATTAACCCTAGAAATGAAGTAAATTTCAGGTTCTTCCAAACATGTTCAGGATGTGAAAAAAAATTGCTCCTAAAATTAGTCAGGAGCAAAGTAGTCTACTTACCTTTTTGGAAAGTAACATTTCTGATGAAATGTTTAAGCAATTTTACTAATAGATTTAAGAGCCTCTTCTGGGAAACCACTCCTGATAGTCAATCATGGAAGGACCCTAACAACTTTTAACCAGTCTTACAAGGAGTTTAATGATCTTTAATTAGGTCTTCTATATCTAGTCTTGCAATGAGTATCTAACTACTCTTTTTTTAAAAATTTTAATACTATGAAATATCACCAATAGGACACAAATCTTTGAAATGGTTCTTTTAGAAAGCCCTTCCTCATAGCAAGTTTGAAATAAAATTTAAAAATAAAATAATTTGTAACATGCTTATGTTGAAGGATAATTTTTTAAAAGAGGCAATATCATGGATCTGTACAAATATAAAATAAATATGTGCCAGGTATTTCATTTAATTAATAATAAGGAAGCTAGTAATATGTAAAACAGAAATTAGAAGCAATCAATGACTGTGAAATGAATTTGCTAATAGCTACAAATAGGTTCTTCTTTGGAATGGGGGTGATGGTGGTGAAATTGATTGTACTTCTGTGGGACAAAATTCATTTGCATCTCTATGGATAAGAATCATTTACATGCTATCATTTTTTAATAATTTGCAGAGTTGTATAACAGCTTAGTTAGAGATAAAGAAAGGGGCAGACTTCCAAATAACCTGGAGGCATACGCTAGACAATGCTTAGTATTCCTTTGAAAGGACACTCATTAATCTTCCCTTGCCCATTTCAATGTCTTTCACAATTTTCCCCATAATTTCCCCACCTGATGATCGTAATAATATTAAAGATTATTCACACACACACACACACACACACACACACACACACACACACAGGGCTGGTCTCATTTGGTTTAGTCTAATTTTTTACATAGGTACAGCAGAGTGTTAATATATATCTTCTAGAATTGGCTTTACAGATCTAGAGTCATACTTCATATATCCAGAAAACAGACCCTTGTTACAAGACAATATTCCAAATAATTATAATAACATTTCCCACATTAATTTGCTCAGCTCTATGTATTCTTGTTCCACTGGATCTTAGATTAAGAATCTGCTTTCTTAAAGCCTTCTGTTTCATGGAAAAAAATCCTAAAAATCAGTTCACTGGTAGTTGTCTACACAATATCAGTTCAGAAACTGATACCCCAAAGTCAATAATTTGAAGTGCCAATGGTTTAACGTAACGGTTAGTCTTTTTTCCATGAGACTCTGAGACTCTTTTGTTGAAGAAGACCTATGGCTTTGTTCTTTGGGTTTTTCTCTTTAACTAATCAGAGGTGTAATAAAGTCAAAGCACAGAAAGTTATTTTATTTTATTTTATTTTATTTTATTTTTTTTAAAGATTTTATTTATTTATTTGAGAGAGAGAGAGAGAATGAGAGATAGAAAGCACGAGAGGGAAGAGGGTCAGAGGGAGAAGCAGACTCCCTGCTGAGCAGGGAGCCCGATATGGGACTCGATCCCGGGACTCCAGGATCATGACCTGAGCCGAAGGCAGTCGCTTAACCAACTGAGCCACCCAGGTGCC